GCGCGCCCTGCTCTAGCTGGGGGTGTCCCTGTCCCTGCAGGTGGGTTGAAAGCTCCCTCCCCACCCAAACCACTCTGTGACTCTGTGAAGAATCACGCTTTCAAGCTCAACATCTTCCCCACGAATCCTCTCCCAAAAGCCCCCCAAGACCCCGCCAGCACCTGGCCTGAAGGCCCGAGCCCGACGGGCCGGGGCTGGGTTGGGTGCTGAGCCCTCCCCTCCCCAGCAGGCTGGGCGCAGCGTCCCGGGAGCAGAATGAGAGCATGGCCGGCCTGCCGCACATCCCGGGCCCCGAGAACCTCCGTCCCTTCACCCCCGCCTCGCTGGCTGCCATCCAGGAGCGCATCGCCCAGGCTGAGGCGCTCAGGATAAAGCGCCAGCACGTGGAGCTGCCCGAGGAAGAGGAGATCAAGCCCAGCAGCGACCTGGAAGCTGGCAAAAATCTGCCCCTCATCTACGGCGACCCACCGCCGGAGCTCATTGGGACCCCCCTGGAGGACCTGGATCCTTTCTACAAGGATAAGAAGGTGAGAGGCGGAGCTTAGACCCTGGGTGGACTTGGCATTAGATGTAAGTCCCAAGAAAAAGACCAAAGCACGGACCTTCTCTTCTCTCAGCCGTGCCCCAGGGTCTCATCTGAGCCCATCTTGGTGATCCACAGCCCCAGCCTGCTGCGGTGGTTTCTCCTCCGAAGCAGAGCAGCCGTTCCTTGGCAAAGTCCCAAGCCTTTGGAGATGCAAAGCATGCACAAAGGTCTCACCTCTAGCAGCAGCACTTGATCCATGGGAGTTTTGGGGGGTGTGCAGAAGGCCTAACTCATCTTCCTCCTCTCTTTTCTCCACAGACATTCATAGTCCTCAACAAAGGGAAGGCCATCTTCCGCTTCTCAGCAACCCCTGCCCTCTACATGCTGGGGCCCTTCCACCCCATCCGCAGAGGAGCCATCAAAGTGCTTATCCATTCATATCCTTGCCCTTCGCAACGTTGCTCCATTGCCAGGACAAACCCTCGTGATCAAATGGCAAAGAGCCCCCTTGGAGAGGGCTGAGAAGTGTTTCGGGACGGTGTGGTGAGACAATCTTCTGGGCTGGCCCCCACCATGGCCAGGACCCACTGCCCAGCTACCCCAGTGCTTTGGTCCCTTCCCAAGAAGCAGGTGCTTGAAGGCTTTGGGCACCCTGGTGGCCCCAAGAGCTCAGTCTTGGCTGGAGAAGGGAGGAATCAGTTGGGTTGGAGAAGGGAAGGAACCTCAGTGGTGGAGCTTCCTAGGAAGAGGTTCAAGGTCTCCAAGGTCTGGAGAGGCTTGGAAAGGAAGGAAAATGTTTTACAGCTCAAGGGGTCATGTCCCATCTGGGAAGTGGGTGAACTAGGGAGCTCAAAGGATGCTTTGGGATAGGGAAAGCAGAGGAACCAGGACATTGGGGTACAGGGAAGGAGGCAGCTTGGGCAATGCTAGGGTTATTGTTGAGACAAGCAGAGATGGAAAGACAGGAAGAACCCCAAGAGGGGCACTAGGATGGGTGAGAAGTGATCCCAGCAGAGCTCTGGCAGCAGCAGGGGTTGATGGCCAGGAGGTAGGAGGGAAAAGAGTGAGTGTTTGTGGCAGAGGGATAGGAGAAGTGGGGAAAGCTGTGTCCTGGGGTGATGGAGAGGAAGGAACACGGGGGACAAGAAGAGAGGCAGAGCCAGCACCACAGAGATGGGAAGGGGAGGAGAAGGGGAGGGCTGGGCCAGGACCATGCATGGGAGCAGGGGGGACTAAGGGGAAAGTGTGAGCACCAGGAGAGGGTTGCAGGAGGAGCAGGTCAGGGCATGGGACCAAACTGGGAGCCAGGACAAGAGGAGCAGGGTGCTTGGCTTCATAGTCGTGTGAAGGGGGGAAACTGAGGCAGCAGCTGCAGCATTTCTCCTTGACCAGGTTTTAAATTATTCAGCATGTTCATCATGATCACAATTTTAACCAACTGCGTGTTTATGACGCTGAGCAACCCCCCGGCGTGGTCCAAGAACGTGGAGTAAGTCCCTGCCTTCCACCACCTCCCCCAGCCATGGGGACCATCCCAGCTTGGCCATCCTCAGGAGAGAGGGGATCAAGGCTGAGAGAGGGGTGTGGGGATCCAGGAACTCTTCAGAGGAGGAGGGAGGTCGCTGGGAGATGCTGGTGGCCCTCCTGATCCCAGAAGGAATGTCCACACTGCATTAGGCATTGCAAAGAGTGGGAGTGTTTCAGAGCTGCCCAAAATCTGGAGGGGTCCCTGTGGCAGAAGACCACCGCAGAGCAGGTTGGGCTGGGTCAGAGAGGTGGTCTGGAGAGGTTGAGCAGATCCACCAGTCTGCAGAGCAGGGACAACCAGCCGCAGGTGAGAAGGGGAAATTTCAGTGTTTCCTGCTGTGGCTCTGCACAGTCGGGTCTCAGCAGGGTTTTACAGAGGGTGTGGTGGTGCTGGGACATCAGCAGGGACCAGAAGTGTTACAGAACAGTCACCACAGTGACTGGTACCCCAAGATGTCCCAACCTGCCTTACAAGGTGAGGTGAAAACCTCCCCCAGTGCTGAAGCACCCCAAGAACCCAGCAGCCTATGACCATGAGCCCACATACTCAACTCACCAAGATGGTCCTGCTGGCAGGGATGGAGGAAATCTCATCCTGAGCTGGCCCTTGGACCCAGGTGAGTGTCCCCTGTGTGGCCATTCCCGTTTCAGATACACTTTCACTGGGATTTACACCTTTGAGTCCCTCATCAAGGTACTGTCGAGAGGATTCTGCATCGACGACTTCACATTCCTGCGTGACCCGTGGAACTGGCTGGACTTCATGGTCATCTCCATGGCGTGAGTTGGGTGGGATGGGATGGGCTGAGGAACGGGGGGGTGGGTGCCTGGCAAATCCCTTGCAGCCCTCTCCTCTCCTCTCCTGCAGCTACATTACCGAGTTCGTGGACCTGGGGAACATCTCTGCTCTCAGGACCTTCCGTGTCCTCCGTGCCTTGAAAACCATCACGGTGATACCAGGTGGGACCTAAAGAAGGGGCCTCCTTTCCATATCTTCCCTTTCCTTGAGCTCAGGTTTCCCACAGTTCAATTCCTTGTTCTATTGACAGCTCTAAGAGAAAACAGAGGAAATAAGATTTAGGATACTTCTAGTTTTCCACATAATTCAGCTTTTGAGTCATGTCCTGCTGACTCTACATCTTGAAACGAGCTGCACTCAGTTGTTTGGCCACCAAAAGCCCGTGATGAGCCAGATGTGGTGGGTTTAGGGCCCCCTGGAGTTGCCTTATGTGGGTTTGTGCTCACGTTGTGTTTACAGGCTTGATTAACCACTACACCTTGTGTGGTCCTTGGAGTCATAAACTCAGTGGTGTCCTCACTGCTCTGGTGCTAGAGTTGAGATATTTAATGGTTATTCAGGCAAGAGCCACGTAGAGAGCATTAACATCACCCCAAACATCCAGCCTGTGCTGTTAGGAGCATGTTACCAAGTACCTCTGACAGCTATTTCCCAAATTTGATACCAATTCAATACCCTGCTTTGGTACCACCTTGTGCAAACTCAGAGAAAGGATGGGTCAGGCCCCTTGAAGAAGCAGGAGATCAAACAGAAAAGAGTAATTTCTCGTGGTGAATAAATTCTTGTGGCCTTGCACTTTCCAGATCTTTCAGGTTCACATTTGAATGGTTTTTTCCTCCATCAAACAGGCTAGAAATTGCATATAGCAAAACAGAAGCTGCTGCCTCTTTCTGGAATCACATGCCCCCAAGAGGCTCTGCAGAAATAGCAGTTGCAA